GTTTTAACCCATATGAGTCTTTCTTCAATCTGTGTTTCCATTCCAATTACATCAAAACCAGGTGGTAGATTCATAGATTTCTTCCTCTAATTATCCATGCAGGAATTCATTTTTAATATTAAACTATTGTAAATCCCAATCAAACTGAACAACCAAGGCAAGTAACACTCTTACAGTGTTCATTTTTGTCAATGGTGCAAAGTAACTTGGTAATCAACTCCACAAATTTGGGTGAACCCTTTTGAACCAACATAGTTTTGTATCTCTGCAAAGACTTATTTGCCTTATATTTCACTGTAAATCCCCATTTAGACCCTATTAATTTCTTTCCTTTAGGTAATTCAATTAGGCCCTGAGTCCCAATTTTTCTAATGCCTCCATCTCGACACTCATAGCTTATTTCAGTTCCTCAGTGTTTAGTGGCTCAGATGCTGTTTTGATATGGCTAGAGTGTTAAGGTGAATGAGGAAACTTCAGTGTGATGGTGACAAGTTCTTGTAAGGCATGAAATGAGGAAAAAGGATATAAAGGGCAACTGGTACTGGTGCCTTTTGCAATGGGAAGGTCTAGGCCATTGTCCTTCGGTTGATTAGTTGCTGGTACGGTCTCGACTGTTGGTCTACTTTTAGTGGTTTTGATTGGGGGAGCCTGACCCAATTCTTCAACATACTTAAGAAGTTAAACAAGATACTCCTTTCTAGAGTAAACCTGAGTGATGATGGAAGGAGGAACCGGTTCCCTTGAGCCAGAATGAGGTCTAGGAGCAAACTTAAGAGACAAGAAAAGGATCAGATTCCCTGGATAAAGAAGACAAGTCTACTAAAGAGAGAGAGTTGCTTTATCTTCCAGAGGTGATTTTCCCGTGTCTTTTTTCCGCACTAGCCACACATAAGTTGCTTGAAGATTGAAAACAAGGGGCTGCTAAACCATTTTTCCTCTGTGCCTAGTATGTATAAAAATATAAATAAAAGATTATGTCATTTTTTATTAACTTAGAATTTAAGGAAAATCAATCGCCTAATAATTATTTCAGAAGATATCAGAGTACTTGTCCAGAGTTTGGATCCTGATTGTGGTCCCATTTATAAACAGAGTTTGGCCCACTGCATGCAAACCTATACTTGTTTAGCCTTTTAGCTAGGCGAATTTTCGTGTAAGAGAACGCACTAGAATATAAATAATAGTTTGAATCTTTTTATATAAGCTTAAACTTTTGAAATAATTATCAACAGTTTATTATTTCATATGGTATTGAAACTAGAGGTCTAGAGTTTAAATGTTGACTGTCATCCTACCTTTGTTAATTAAATTTTAGCATAAAGTATAATGGGCATAAGTTAGTGAGCCTATGAGCTAGACGTCTTAGACTCTCTCCCTTAATACAAACTCTACAGATCTTAGCCTATGAACTACATCTTTTTGTAGACATATGGCAACAAGAGAGCGGTAAGGTGAGAAACTATAACCTTTTGTAACCTAAGTAAGAGAGAAGTTTGTAGGGTTTAAGGGGTATATGATAGAGACTTTCTACATGTTTCTCCCAGTGTAACTATTCTTAATTGGAATATAGTGATTCTAGTATAGGTCGGTCAAAGGACCAAACATATTTTGTGATGTTTTTTCTTTCTTAATTTTTCTACAAATCCCTATCATCATGAAAGAACAATGTGGTTGGAAAAAATAGAAATAACAACGGTTTAGAGGATCTCAAAACTTTATGCAGAAAACTGACAAAAGAAGCATACATATTCTAGGATATATAAACATAGGGTAAGGCAAAGAGTGGATGTCTTCTAAAAGTTTTTCTTATCAGAGTATGTGCATCATCTGTAACATGCTTAAGCATAAGTAAAATAAAAGAGTTTAACGCCAAGCCAATGAAATTCTATGAAAGGCATTTATACAACTCACATACTTGGCTCAGTGAGAAGATGCTAAGACATACCTTGTTGCTGATTGATTCTCTCAGTCTCTTCAATGCTTCTGATTCACCACCTCTAAAAGGTGTAAATTCATCCTGCAGAGATTAAGCTGATGAAAAAACAAATCTAAAGGAACAAACATTTTGGAAAACTGTTAGCACCAAACCTGTTCATTGTGTTTGTAGCCAAGGTCTTCAATTGTTGGTACTCCTGAAATCTCAGAATTTCCAACATCTCCAACTGGAGGAAGTGAAGAAGGTGAAGTGAAAAGTTGTAAACTCAACCATGAAGGTTCCCCAGCTAGCTTCAGAAAGGACTGGTAAGTTAATGGCGGCTTTCCTCCATTCTTTATTGATGGCAGTTTTTGCAAGGCCATTAATTAGCAAGGAATACATGAATAAACAGGAAATGAATTCTCCCTATTCCTTGATTAAGTAGCAAAATAAGATAGTCTTTTTCACTTAGAAACATTAACAGTGACAAATATTTAAAGCATGCCTCAAAAATAACCCAACTGATACTGAAATTCTTTTCACTAAAAAATTGGTATTAAGATTCTCACATACTTTCTTTATGATGTCCTCAGGGTTGAAGAGTGTATGACTCACAGGAGAGAAAACTTCAATTCCAGCTGAAGAAGCATAGCTCTGTTGCAAAAGAGAGTGTTTCTTTCTCATGACAACTTACGTTTTAGTTTTTTGGATATCAAAGGGAATATAAATTATGATACGTCTATAAGAAGGAAAAAGTTTGGATTGTTCTCCACCTTGAAGATATAATTTCTTACCTTTATTTTAATATCCAAATCTTGGTAATAAGGATCCGTATCATATTCAAAGCAAAGCTTTTTGACATCCCACTGCAAGGACCAAAAAAAGAGTAGAAAATATGATACAATATACTTCAAAACAGTCAGTTTAGAGGCCTAAAAATTAGTTTCCCTTAATAAGCACAGCACAAGGAAATGATATGACCACTAAGGCATTCATACACCACATGCTTATTAAACTTCACTAATTTTGCTCCAAATAGTGCTGCATGATCACAACCACATATCGGTCAAAGGACTTGTTTCGATCACACTTAACTAGATTATTTGGATGCTTCACAGCTAATGATTGGCTCATCTATCCAACAAACTAAACCCCCCAATAAGTTGGTTGAGTATGCACAACAAGTACCACAACTAAAAAAATTCTATTTGATAATGAGCCTCCATAATTTAAGCATGAATTCCATACACATTTAAATAGGCTACACATGTTTGCACCAATCATGGCAGGTTAAATTATCTCCTGATTCTTTCTTTTGCAATTTGAGAAGAATGGCTCTCATAGCAAAATACACTATTTGTTAAGCTTAATGAGAAACAAAGGGGTGAATAACAAGGGTTGAGATTCCTGCCATTAGAATGAAGAACGTAAACTTGAATTCCACATTAAATAATTGCTTACTGACCAGTTATCTTGGTACTTAAGCTGGAATAACAGGATCCACCTTATTATTTATATTCTTAAGTGTCTGACATAAATAAGCAGCAAAAAAGAGTAGATTTGACTTTAAGTTTAGAGTAGAGAATAATGAGTTGGCAGGAAAAAATAGTTCGTAGCCATCAACAAAATTTTGGTACCCCAAAGTTTAAAAATCAGTTTTTTTAAAAGAAATTCTTAAAATTCAATTGGATAGTTTTTAAATAAAAAAAAATTAATTATCATTTTTTGACAGTCTACTAAATTTTAGCTTAAACTCCAAAACTTACCAAACACTTGAAAGCTTTTTGAATGGTGAAAAGGTGAAGTATCCAAACACAATGAAGTTTAAAGCTTGCTAGTTAACAGTAATCTGTGCTTAAAACATAGAAATTATGAGCTTAATCTCCACAGAGTACAGAACGATATCTTCTTACAGTATAGAACAGCACATCTCAAAGCCACTAATCAATTTTCTTGCTCCTAGTACTCTTAACTCCTTTAAAGCACATGGAAGTTCATGCTAATTTTTCTTCAAACTTAGATTCCATTTCCAACCAAGTATAGTCCTAGTAGACCACAAGCACAGGATTCAAGAACACCCAAGCAAAGTATACAACTAAATATATATATATATATATATATAATACACACAATTTAGAGAAGGTTCTACCTGCTGCAAGCAACGAATCAAAACATCACTTGGGTCACCCTTCAAAATTAGCAAGCGCGACCCGAGCTTCTTGAGGCTCGAATCAAGATCCACAAGACTCTCGAGCAGGAAACGAATCCTATTCAGACCTGCCCGAGTCGACCCGGGAGAAAATGCGTTAGGGTCCGGCTTCACGTAATGTGGATCTATCACGAACACGGGGTACACAAACTTGGATCCTTCAGAAGCGTACTCGAGAGCCGGGTTGTCGTGGATCCGTAGCCCCTTACGGAACCAAATCAGAGAACCCGACCTATTTGCCATGGCTACTGGACTGAGACGGTGAGGAGACGGAAGAGAAACTGCAAATCGCATGAAGGCGAAGAAAGCTAATTCTTTCGCGCCATAAATGTTAAGAAGGCGAGATGTTGCTTAATGTGCGCTTGGCATAGGATAAGGAAGGTGATGGATTATTGTTTACTCGCGAAAGCACAGGGTACGCACCGTGCGCAATTTAGATTCGAGATACGGGAGTTATAAGCGGTTAAAATGGCGCCACGTTGTGCCTTTGAAATTGAGAGACGTTAAAAGCTGATTACAATTTTGATAAATCGTGTTTCAATTGTAATTTTTGTTTTTAATATTTTTCGTATTTATTTAAAGTTTTAAGTTGGTCTTGTTTTTGTGCATGTATAATTTATTTAATAAAAAATTAATTAAATTTGATAATACCGTAAAATAATAAAAGAATGAGCAGATTTCATCCGGAGATTAAAAATTAAAGCTACTCGATCTATTTTTAATTAAGATACATAAAAATAAAATAAATTATCGACATACATATAAGTAGTAAAAATAATTCTCTTGCTCGTATTGCAATGCTGCTCAAAATGTGTAAAATTTAAATAGAAAAGCTAAAACATTGGAAGAAAGCAAGCCCACATGGTATACAATCATATAATACGTGATTTTTTACGAATGCTAACGAGTCTTACATCATCTACAACAGGACCACAAAGGGACCCAGAATTGTCACCGGCCATGGTGTAAAACGTGCTTTGTAACACCACAGTTGTACGCTCAGACACAGCCTTGAACAGTAGTCTAGCACGCTTGAATCCTCCTGTTCCCTTTGACTCGTAAGGCACCTTAAGGGAGCCTTTTCCAGCAAATGCTTCCACGATCATGGAACCTTCACATGTGTTATTAGCATCACCCACTGCAAATGTTAAAGCATACATTTTGTCTTTGATGGTTTTGACCACTTGGGCAATGGCGCTCTCACTTCCGGCAACTAGCTCCACCGCTCGTTTTCCTTCTGGCACCGAGAAATGTTTGCTGTCGATGTACTTGACGGCTTTGAGAGATTCGATTGTCCAACCGGGTAAGGGGCTGTGATCATCTTCAATTTGAGGTGGAACTAGGACTCCCCATGATGCGTTTGGAAACACGTATGGCCCCTCTTCAAAATTACCATTCTTTAACATATTGACTGCAAATACACAATCAAATTACATTAGGGTAAGGTAAATAACGAATTACCCAAGCAATATGAACCAAGAGAAGAAAGTTTATTTTACCTCTGGTACGCTTAGGGGGAGTTAAGAGCTTCAAAGCAACAGAGTCAATAAGCGGACCGCAAGCCGGATCCTCCTCTAAATCTGGATTATGAAGAGAAATCTCAACTTCATCTGCATCGGCTTGAAAAGCCCATGAATAAGAATCCCAACCATTGCTACTATACGTTGTTTGAATCGGAAGCATCCCCCAATCGTGCTTCTCCGAATTAGGTGATACAGACACATTCAACCGCTGGGATTGTGCACATGTACGAGCTGCACTGAATGTAATTGAATAAAACACCCCCTTAATCACCTTTACTTTCTGTTTAATCAAAGCCTTGTTTCCTAATCTGACAGCAAAGGCTCCTTCCGGCACCACCAGCAACATGTCACCTTGGGTGTGTCCAGATTTTATGTACTCCACGAACCCTGCTATTTCCCAAAATGGTATTGCGGTTTTGCTCGTCACAACTGTGCCCTTCATTTGTGATGCCTTTGGACCGTACTCGAAATTCCCATTTGGTAACAAGCCTGAAAGTAATTATTTCAAATAATTATAACCAATCTAATTCGTCATGTCACTATAGCAATTCAATGCTTCAATATTCTGTACATCTGGGTATCTTCATATTCAATTAAATATAACTGCAGGGCAGGTGTACGTGTATGTATATATATAAATGTGTGTGTATGTATATACTGGTCCCATTTGTTGGTGGGGTGGTGGGGGGGGGGGGGACCAAAATTTACGTACTCTGATTTACAAAAATGGGGGATCTATATAACACACACTGGCTTCAGATTCTCCTATAAAAGGATTTTAAAATTTGTTTGTATTACTTTAATTTTTTCTTTCACTTCTTTTCATTTCAGATCTGATCCAATCCTTTATTATGACCTTGGAAATAACGAATACATGAATTAAATTGAAGGCTTTTGAATATAATTTGACTAATTTTTTACGCATTAAAATTAAATTTTTTTATTCAATCGAAAACAACTAATTTATGCAAAAATTAGAAAATTTAAGAAAAATTCCTAAAATCTTACTGAAAAAAAAAATCAAACATTTGTTTATAAGAGAATTGACTGTTCAAAGTTACTCTGAACTTAATCGCGATTCAAAATAAAGAAGATCAAATATGCATCAAAAATTGCCTCTACTGTTCAGGTTTAGTGTGCAGGAATATGATATTTGCTAATCTCTTCGTGAATGTATGTCTACATGTACATATATATATATATATAAGCTTCTCAAGCAATGCCTTGGCTGACATGAGCTATGATCAAATACGTTATTTACCGTCTGTAACCGATATGGCGATTTGACAGGTGGCGCAGAGTAGTGCTAGTAGCACCGTCGCTCTGTATATCATCGTTACTCTACAAGAGAGAGAGAGATGGAGAGGGAGAGGGAGAGAGAGAGAGAAGCCTTGACAGGCAGCTCGTGTTGAAGAATGACGATGACGATGGAGGGAGAGGAGAAGCTGGTTTTATTTCTTCCCAACTAACAAAACGCCACTGATGTTCAATTAAATTACAATAATACCACAAGAAGTATCCTCTCCTCCCATATAGTTTTAAGTAGATTTAATTTCAAGGAACTACGTTTTATATATTCCCTAAATATCTGTCCACATCGCAATGAATAATAAATAAATAATTTTAAAATAATAAATATATTTTCTAATATTCACAAATATCTTGCCTCCATAATATTTATTTATAATAATCAAATTTAAGTAATTAATACAAATTATTTTGACATTTAAAAAAATTAAAAATTCTCTATGAGGAGAACGTAACCAGTAAATTTTTTTAAAAAATTAATTAAATAGAATTAAAGTTTGAATTTAATAATTAATAAAATGGAAAAACATTTAAAGATTTGGTGTGATCTTCTGGTGAAGGTTGAAACCTCAAGCTGAAGGGCAAAATATTCAAAGCCACATGGATTCGTCAGACAACCTGTTGCCTTGTCGGTCCAAGGCTAAATATGTCATTTTACCCTTTTTCAATATTTTTCTACCGTATGGATTAAGAAATAAGAGTTATATGATGTAATGTGCACAAATTTGTTCTTGTATTTTTTTTTTAGTTTATAACAAAATTTATAGAGATAATATATGATATACGCATACCATTTTCAAGTATAGTAATACAAATTACATTTGTGTTTTTTTTTAAAAAAAAAAAATTGAATAACGAGAGTTATTATTATTTTTATCAATTAATAAATGGGTCACGTTATTTGAAATGAATGATCCTAAAAAATCGATTTTTCTTTTTATTTATTGAATTTTTTTTTAATTGATCAACGTCTGATATTCTGAATTCTTATTATAAAAAGAATCGAAATGAACTTTAAATTAATCATTT